ATGTATATATATATATATATATATATATATATATATATATATATATATATATATATATATATATATATATATATATATATATATATATTGGAAGGAGACAATATTTTATATTGTATAAATTCTACCAATTCGTTGGCATTAATCATTTTAAAGTTTGTCTTTTCAATTTTCCTTACTAGAAAATTTGGATAATAATTCTATTCTCCAATGAATAGAACAATTTCCTAACAATTCTAAACTGGAAAATTGAAAAGACAAACATTAAATTGATTAACGCCAACAATATGGTAGAATTCATACAATAAATACTTTTTAAAATATGGTCTCTTTCCAACATATATATATATACACACACATACATATATATATATATATTTGTTTATTTATATATATATATATATATATATAGTTATGTTAGGTAATATACGTGCCTTGTCAGTTTGTAAACACAAACTATACCATTTTTTTATCAGAGGTGTGTATTGTGTGGTACTGTGTGCATGTACAAGACATCAATGTATAAATAATTAATATTCCTGTGTTGAATGACATATCGTCTCTCTAAAGTTTGTGGCTGGAATTATTTAATTTGTTGACAGATGGGTTGAAAATTATTATTGTTATGTATAAGTTTATATGTGTATGTGTTTGTGTTTAAATGTAAATTTATAACACAAAAACGTTGAGTTTAATTGTTATTATAGTTGGATTGTATGTTTTACTGTTTTTGTTTGTCTTTTTTTGGTATAAAATTGTTTGAGTTGCTGTAGTAGTGATAATAAAATTATTAGATGATAAATATTTTTAATAATGGTATTGGTTTTATTTTCTTCAAATTCAAACAATTTCTTTTCAAGATAGCTAATTTATCGTAAGATAGCTAATTTATCGTCAGTTAACTTGGTTGTTGCTTTGTTTGTTGTTTTCAGACGCTGTTTAGTTGTTTTGGGACTTACGTATTTATCATACTCCTGTTTGCTTATGCCATTTCAAATGTAAACTACTTTGTATCATTTTCATGAATAAATGTAAGAATTATATTTAAAAAATATTGTTTTTTATGTCAGTGTGTGTGTGTGTGTGTGTGTGTGTCTGTGTCCGTGTGTGTGTGTATGTGTGTGTGTATGTCCGTGCGTGCGTGTGTGTATCTGTGTGTCCGTGTATGTGTGCGTGCGTGCGTGTGTGTGTCTTATTAAAATCATCAAAATGAAATTTTTTTACTGGGATGTTTTATAGAGGGACTTTTATTATTATTATTATATTATTACTACTACTTTGATTTACGCTAGGTTGGTTAATTTCGTTTTGCTATGCAGGTTACTGTATGGAAATTTTTATTATTATTATTATTTATAATAGCATTATTATTATTATTATTATTATTACTACTGATAGTGTTGACGTTACTGCTGATGTTTTCGTGGCTGGCTTCTTATTTAGTATCAACTGTTTTGTAGTTTTGTATGCCTAGAATTTCTAAATTTTCAGTTATAATTATTATCTGTAGGCATGTGTGCAGTTCATACTTCTTCCTATCGTAAATTTTCAATTATTTTTACTTTTTTTTAATTTTTTTTTTCAGTTTACGTTTTTGATTTTCGTTATAAAAATTTCACAAAAAATTGTAACCATTTTTTACTCATTCGCTGTTAGGTGAGTTCTTCGAGAACAGCTGCAACCCTTTGCGGCCTCAACAACGCCTCTAATGCCAGCAACAAGTTTGGGAATGTTGATTCGATCTCGCCAACGTCATCAACAACAACAGCAGCACCGACATCGACAACGACATTAACTTTCAACAAACAACAACAACAACAGCAGATATTTTCAGCAAAACTCCCGCCTTTTGGCAGACCATCTCATCCTCACCCCTACATAAAAGACATCATAAACAAAAAATTTGCGAATGACGATCCAGCCGCAAGAACAACAACAAACAACAAACCAACAACGCCATCCACGTCTCCGCCGTTTCTTAACTACATGTTTCCAACAAAACTACAAAACTTCAACAACTTTCCATCAAGCCCATCATCAGCAACCAACTACTACAACAACAATTTGTCATCATCTCCATCTTCATCTCCTCCCCACCTTCCGGCTGTCCTTCAAAAGTTGCTCCTCCAGGCTCCGGATGGGGTTAACAAGAACAGTTCAAGGTTATGACCTTTCACCTTCATCTTCTTTATGACTTTTGAAATTTATTGTTGATCTGTTTGTGTTTATTTATTCATTCTTTAGTTCCTTCATTCATTCAATCATTTATTCATTCAACCATTAAATTATTCATTCAGCTGTTTCTATTTTACATAATTATGTTTGCATACCAGAAATATTTGGCCCTTTCATTTTTTTTTTAAATTTTTAGTTGATTTATAATTCTACTAAATTTTCAAAATTTATCATTAGCTCTTATCCATTTCGACATCGCCAGTTTATTATAATATCATTACATCACGTGATCTCGGGGTCACAGCAGCATGAATGACCTCCTGGACCCCACGCCCTCGAATGTTATGACGTCATCGATGTCGTCCTCATCATCTCCAGCCAATGGCGATCGAGTACATTTGGATCGCAAGTGCTCATTGGATGCCAGCATGCGACCGCACCACCTCTTGCTGACCAATAAGAAAGGTCTGTCTGCTCTGGAGGAAGAAAGGAAGGTCAAGGCTGAACAGAGAAGACTCGCAAGGTCTGTTTGCTGATTGGTTGATTGGTTTTTTAAGCAACTTTTCAGCTTCCAAGATTGTTTGTTGGTTGGTTGGTTGGTTGGTTGGTTGGCTTATTGAAAATATTTGTCAATGAATTGATGAACAGATTGACGAATTGGTGCTTGAGAGATTGAGTTTGTTTTTGAATTAATGATTTCATGCATGTGTAGTTGGTGTTGTGCAAGTTTTGTGTGTGTTACTGCAAACATACAAACATTCAAACATTGCAAATATACAAACATCCAAACATTGCAAACATACAAACATCTAAACATTGCAAACCTACAAACATTCAAACATAGCAAACATTCAAACAACTTCCCAACCAGGCTACAATTTTTGGAGGGAGCCAGCAGTAGATTGCAGACGAAACCTTACGACGGAGACATGTTCACAACTGTAAAACCACACCCTACGTGATGGGGAGCATGTTCAGAAAAATTCCTCCTATATCACCACCATTCTCTTTTGTTATCATCGTCGTCTTCATCGTCATCATCGTCTTTTTATTTTTTGACACCATCACATTCTTATTAGAACTACTTATGATATATTTTGCCAGTTCATGTTTAGTGTGTAAGTGTCTTTGCAATTGTGTTTACAGGTTACTGTTTGCCTATTCTTATTTGTTTCACATTACGATGTCTTTTTTCATTACTGTATCATGTCCATATTTTACTTTTAATTTTATCTCTCCGTCAATTTTTATTCCTTCAAAACTTTCTCTCATTCTCTTTCCTCATAATTTATTCATTCGTTTTTTCATTCATTCAATCATTTATTCATTTATTTCTAAATATTACTAGTGCGCCTATTGGACAAATAACAACTGCTATCAATCAACTTTATGTGGAGAATAAATATATTTTTATTAAAATTAAAAATAATTGTCTTAAATAATTATCTTAACACTATTGTACAGTGATTTCTTAATTTATATGTAAATATAAATATATATATATATATATATATATATATATATATATATATGTGTGTGTGTGTGTGTATATATATATATACATATATATATATTTATAAGAAAGATAGAGCCATAAATAGCATTAATAATATGCTTTTTTTTGAGAAAAACAGTTTTTTTTCTGGTGTGTTTGTGTGTGTATATGTGTCTTCGTGTGTGTGTATATGTGTCTTCGTGTGTGTGTGTCTTCATGTGTGTGTGTCTTTGTGTGTGTGTGAGTATTTAAGCGGAACGTCTATGGTTCGATTCCCTAGGTTGTAAAGAGAATTTTTTATAAGTATGTTATACTTATATACATATATTTTTCAAATTATTTTTTAAAAATATTCAATTGAATTATGATTAAGATTATAAGGTTATAATTAGTTGTGTTCTAGTTATAATTATTTGTGCCATTTTTTAGTTTAAAAATTTTTTTCAGCAGTTTTGATAGCTAGCGTTCAATCTATTATCACTCGATCAAGGTTAATCATTCTATGGTGATTAATTTTTTAATCTCTGGTATTAATTTTTATTCGTATTTATTTATTTATTTACTTATTTATTCTTTTATTCGTTCTTTTAATTTTTGCTTGGTTTCTTCTTTCTGTCATTGCCTTTGTTTTTTTTATTTGCAATGAAAAAATTCCTATGACGATAGTATTCATGTCAGTTGCAGGTTAAATGTGTGTGCGTGTGTGTGTGTGTATGTGTGTGTGTATGTGTGTGAGTATTTAAGCCGAACGTCTATGGTTCGATTCCCAATCTGGGCACAATCATCAAAACGATACAATCATACGAATTTTTATATATGCTTTTTTTTATGACCTAGTGTTTTATTTTAAATACTTTTTTAATTCCAGAAGTTGTCATTTAATCACAATTACACAATTACAATTAAATGTTCAATTTTAATTAAATTTAATTAGGACTATTTAGTTGATTTTATATTTTTCTTCTCTTTAATTTTATAATCTGATTAGTTAATTGATTAACAAACTAACCTTACTGATTGAATAATTAACTTATTAATTAGTATGCATAAGTTTTTATTCTTTCTTGTAGCTTACTTTTACCCACAAGGTTTTTATTAAAAAATTTTATTTACATTATTTTACAATATTTTCTATAGATATGTTCATTATGGATCGTTGGATCGTGGAGATAGAGAGAGAGAGAAAGAGAGAGAAGAGAGTTTTTTTATATGTTGTAACGTTTTTTTTTGTTTCAGTGTTGTTTTTTTTCTTGTTGTCACTATGATGCGTGAGATAAATTGTAACTTTTGTAACTTTTATAAGCAATTGTGGAGTAGGCTCTGTGTGTATGTGTTTTGTCATCTTCGTTTATTGCATTTGTTTTACAATATGAATTATTTATATGCGTGCGTGTGTGTGTGTGTTTGTATGTGAGTTTTTTTTATTATAGCTAACTTTCTTGTATTAATTTTATCTATCTCTATTTTGTATTCTGTATTTTTTCTCGTCGTGTTTATTTTTTATTTCCTTATTATATGACGTTTATAATATGCATGAATGTATAGATGTCCGTGTACGTGTCTTTGTGTGTGGTGATTGTGTGTGTGTGTGTGTGTGTGTGTGTGTGTGTGTGTGTGTGTGTGTGTGTGTGTGTGTCTATATCTATCTATGTGGTCTGATTATGTTCACGTACAAGTATATATTATATATATAATTATTTATTTATGTATTTATTTATATGTATTGATTTAATATATATTTATTTATTTTATTTGTAATAAAAAAAAAAAGATTCACTAAGCATCAGTGTTTATTTTATAATGTTGTAGTAGACCAAGAGGTAGGTAGCACAGCAGGTCACACGGATCTATCTACCGTACATTAAAACGACCTACCTTACATGAATACGTATTATTGAGAGATTACAAATGTTAATAAATGGCAGTATCAAAGAATATAGAATAATAATGTATAATAATAATAATGTATAATAATAATGTTATTATTTTTATTGTCAAGGAAGTCGTGACGAGCCGTCTTACAATGCCAGATGGACAACGCATGCTCCAGCTCTTCCTACGCGCAAAGGTGCTACCTGCAACATTCAAAATAGAATTACGTTTAAGCAATTTTTACAAGTTTGCCCAGTTGCATTCAGAGTGTGTTTCTTCAATTCGTTTTGTGTTCTTCGTTCCGGTTGCAAATATTATTTCCTGTTGGTAATGCTTCGCGGTGTAAATTAACGTAAGTGTCATAAATGGAGGAGATGAAAGCTCAGTGGTAACAATTGGAAGTTTTTGAGATCGTATCAATACAGTTTGACGAGTTACTCATAGTAAACTGTAATGCTTTTTTCTATATATCAAGAGATGAAGAAATGATAAGAAAAGATAACGAAGTGGTATAACAAAAAGTTCTATTCCCACCTCACTCCATTCATTGAGATGAGTATCGAATGCCTCGACGTCGTTCAGATACCTCTGGCCATCATACCCGCCCACTGCGAACAACTTGTCGCCAAGAACGCACACACCAACCGCATCCCTTGGCGAACTTATGGGAGCCACCGCCGTCCACGTGTCTGTCTTTGGGTCGTACCTATTGAAAACATTCTTGTTTCGAGTATGGTGTTTCACAAAATTAGTTAGCAGTCACGTTGAACGCATGTTATGTACGATGCATTTTTAAAAAATACGTACGTTGACTGTGATACGGAATTAACGAAACTTCGAAGATGCTAACGCGGAGCACAAATATTTAATAGGTATTTACTTTAAAATTGATTGTTCATCATTATTATCTGCAAGTGCTTAACAACGAACGCAAACATGAGGCATCATAGGTGAAAGAAACGAAAGAAGGAATGAAAGAAGAACGGAAGAAGAACGGACCTTTCAACGCAGTCGAACCTACTGGATGCAGGGTTGCTGGACGGAGCATCGTGACCACCAACAGCGTACAGGAATTCGTTGCAGACGGCAACACCCACCCCTCCTCTTCGTTTGTTCATGGGACAGCAAATACTCCACTTGTTCGTGTGTGGGTCGTAACATTCCATCGACCGCAAACAGGAGCTGCCATCGCGACCACCGACTGCATATAATCTGTAATCGTTGTGGTTGTTTCGCTGATAACAACGACGATGTTTTTAAAAAACATATGAAAATGTGATTGACTTGAAGGCTACAAATAAGTAAACAGCTGAGAAAGATGATGAGCAAGCAGATAATATCGTTTCAGAATTCATACATGTCTGACATTCCTCTTTCGGAACGTAACCCGAAGTTATAAGTTTACATCGTGATAGGCATCAGTAAAAAAATATAACAGCTGTGCAATGTTGTACATCGTCAGTTTGAAGTAATGTAAAAACTGCCAACTTATTTCCCAGAACAACAACTCCGGCGGTACTTCGTGGGGTGCTGAGGGGTGCAACATAACTCCACTGCTGAGTTTGAACATCCCACCTTTCTACAGTGGCCAGGTACGACCACCCATCATGGCCACCCACTGCGTACATGGGACCACCGAGAACTCCAACTCCAAGTCCGTGTCTGTGGGTGGCCATCGGGTTGACGCTCGACCACGTGTCGGTTCGACAATCGTAACATTCGACCGAATTCAAAGTTTTGAGTCCATCTCGACCGCCCACCACGTAGAGCACCAGGTCGATGACCGCCACTCCGAACTGAAGTCGTCTGCCGTTCATGCAGGCGACCTGAGACCACTGATCCGTTCTCATGTCGTACTTCTCCATGCTGACCGCTCCTGTGTGTGTGTGTGTGTGTGTGTGTGTGTGTGTGTGTGTGGTGTTTGCGTTGAAATCTATTTGCTTTCTCGTCAGAACCAATGGAATACAAAATTTCGAGAAAAAAAAGTATCAATAAAGATTAAAAAGTACAACCGGATTTTAATTTAAAACTTTTTTTTATTAACGTTAGTTTAGCATGAAAAATTCCACTTTCACAAATTTTCATTTACGAACATCTGAACACACTCACCTTTTCCACAATCCATTCCGCCGACCGCATAGAGAACACCGACAGTGGATTTGCGCGGACGAGTCCTCATGTTGTACATGGTCATCCTCCTCTCCGGCAGCAAGTGGTACTTCAAAGATTCCATGATCAGGTCCTGGATGAACAGGTCCTCTCGGAATAGAGGACAGGCGGCTACTTTGTCCGCTATGTACTGTGTGCGTGTGTGTATGTTTGATTGATCGTGTTGTGTGTGTTTGATTTTGAGTGTGTGTGTGTGTGTGTGTGTCTGATTTTATTTGCGCTTTCACGTATGTTTGTTTATGTATGTGTGTTATGATATGTGTGCATTTGAATGTTATTTTCATGATCTTGGGTGCATTTGTATTTATATCTTATGTTTTTCTTTTTCGAAACATGTACCTACATGTGATTTTTATGCCTGTTGCATTTATTTTTGAAACGAATTGTGTTGGTTAACGCGTGTTTTCTGTGAGCCGCATAACTTCCCCTAAAATAAACTACCTACTTTACGGTCTCAGTATTTGCATCTAGATTATTTTCATCACATTTTCATTTGCTAGGCAGCCTTCGTTTGTGAATATGCATCCAGCCAGTCATCAGCACACTAAACTCCAACATTTATGAGCAACAACAAAACACTATCCTATCCGGGCCGTTGTAGGAACAAGTGCACTCACACTCCAGTTTATATACGAGTGTGAACAAAATTTATATGCACGCGTTTTGGCGCATAAATCAATGTGTGCATACGTACGTAAAGAATTGTTAATATTGGCAAGATGCTGGGCAGGGAGGAAACGGAGGATGTATCAATACATTGGATGGGATCTCGCCTGGAATGTTCGATGTTATTTATCGACATCCCATGCAAATAGCAAAAACTGAAATATATCTCCACGCCTTTATTTAACGACCAGCATAAACAACTGTTCACGCACGCACGAACATAAACAGATGTTCACGCACGTACGAACATGAACAAATGTATCAAAATACGCACGTACGCTTATAAACCACATGTGATATGGACATAGGACGAGTAGATGAACAATAGCGTGAGTCTATAAAAATAAAATTGATAACATTAAATATGATCTTAAGACGTCTCCACGCCCTGTTTCATCTACCCGCTCATTCATGAAATACTCATCACATGATTTGCCGTCGGTAACTCCAACCACCCCATCACATATCCATCAGTTAAGACTCTCGGATTTCACCTCTTTCGTACAACCTCCTCAACAAAGCTTGCAATATCGTCAGTGCAATGTTCAAGAAGGGGAGGGTGCCTGACTGAATTTATGGCGAACATTTGCATATTCTGCATACTTTTTACGTCTTATGAGTGCGTCTGCGCAGCTATGGCTGGTTTTGAGACAGCAGTCACGGAAATAATATGGCAAAATTTATTGCTGTCATCATCGCAACCACCATCATCTTTACTGCTATCACGACCTTCTTAGTCATCCTTACCAACCTTCTTTATCATTCTCACCATCATTTCAGTCATCCTTCTCTCCACCACCAAACAAACTTGAGCGGGAAGAAGAGGTAGTCTCACACACGCCAGCAGCCTCCCAAGGTCCTTCTTTCTTTCAACTTCATCATGTTTTGCCCAGCAAACGAGGGCTTCAAACACCACCACCTCGCTACTGACGCGAATGTCGTCGCTGCACAGAAGCTGCACTAAGTCGTCTGCAGCAAGGAAATTGAATTCTTGATGTTTTGTTACCTCCATGAAGTTTTCCTGTAGTTGGAGTTGTTTGTGATTGTGTGGTTGTGGTTGTAGCATTTGTGGTTGTAGCAGTTGTGGTTGTAGCAGTTGTGGTTGTAACAGTTGTGGTTGTAACAGTTGTAGTTGTAACAGTTGTGGTTGTGGCTGAAGTGTTTTCATTGGCGGTTAAAAATGGTTGAGATGTGTGCATTCTTCTGTATGTCATGAATTCAATAATGAAATATTTCATGGAACTTTGTAATGCACACTTGTTTATTTATGTACGTGGATATGTTCATGTTTACATAACACATTTTAGTATTTAGCTTATATGGCGCTTCAAGTTACCAAAAAATTTCAAACGAATCAATAGAAATTAATCGCAAATAAAAAAAAAACTCCCATATCATGAATGGGATTTTTATGTGCAAGTTAATTCATGTGGGAAATCAAACATTTCATTAAATGTGTGCATGCGAAAGAAGTATATGAATGAAGTCTTTTTTCATTCGTTATGTTAGTGTTGTTCATATACACGGTGTGCATACTTATGTGTGTGTGTGAGAGTGTGTGTGTGAGTGTGTGTAGTAATGTAGAAGTGAAGTAGAGTGTGCGTGTGTGTTTGCCAGTGTGTGTGTTTGCCAGTGTGTGTGTTTGCGTGTGTGTTTGTGTGTGAGTGTGTGCGTATGTGTGTGGCGCGTGTGTGTTCATAGGGAATGTTTGAGAGCGGTCGTATTAAGCGTCCTGATTGTTATTGGCATCAACGTCATACGTAATCTCGCGATTATATGTCATCACATCGTCGTCGTCGTCAAATAAAAATAATGACTCGATGACGTTAAAACGGATAAACCAATGATGATGTGACGACGTAAATGCTGATGACGTGAATGCTGATAACGACAACGAAGACGACGACAACGAGGATGGCGAACACGATGACGATGATGATACCTATGACGTCATTGTTGATGATAAAGATACAGTGGCGATAGGGTATGATTACATCTAGTGTAGAATTCTCGCGAGGTTTTCTCGACGCCAAACTTCCAGACAGGACGCCGCAAATTTGCGTTTTGAACTTTAATTCCATTTGTTGGGAGATGGAAGAAAAAAAAACAACTAAGAATGAAAGTAAGTACATTAAGATAGGCAATGTGATGTGATCGATGTAAAATAATGTAATGTAACGTAATGTAAAGCAATGTAATGTAAAGTGATGTAATGTAATAATGTAAAGCAACATTACTCTAATTTAGTATCATTTGATTGATGTAATTTTAATAATGTAATGTTTCTGTAATGTAATGTAATAATGTAAAGCAACATTACTCTAATTTATTATCATTTAATTGATGTAATTTTAATAATATAATGTTTCTGTAATGTAATGTAATAATGTAAAGCAACATTACTCTAATTTAGTATCATTTGATTGATGTAATTTTAATAATGTAATGTTTCTGTAATGTAATGTAATAATGTAAAGCAACATTATTCTAATTTAGTATCATTTAATTGATGTAATTTTAATAATGTAATGTTTCTGTAATGTAATGTAATAATGTAAAGCAACATTACTCTAATTTAGTATCATTTAATTGATATAATTTTAATAATGTAATGTTTCTGTAATGTAATGTAATAATGTAAAGCAACATTACTCTAATTTAGTATCATTTAATTGATGTAATTTTAATTTACAACGTTTGATGTTATATTACGTAAAGAATGTTTAGTAAAGAGAATTGTAATGGTATTGTATGTAACTTCTTCGCCGGGCGTGTGTTGTAAATCATGGAGCCCTACATGAAAAAAGTAATTTATTATTATTATTATTATTATTATTATTATTATTATTTGTTGTTGTTGTTGTTGTTTGGGCATTTTTGTCTTTTTTTGTTTATTTTTTTTTACTTGATTTAATGTTTTGGCGTCGTCGTTGTTGTTTCTCCATTAAATAAGAACTTTTCTCTCTCCTTCCTTCGTTGATAATTTTTTTGTTTTTCTAAATAATTTTTTGGTGAATAAATTTTGCTAATGCGTTTTCAAAGTATTACAAAAATGCAGTCTGACAAAATAAAAGGAAAGGAAGAGAGAGAGAGAGAAAGAGCGAGAAAGAGAGAGGGGGGAAGAGAGGGAGAGAGGAAGAGAGTAAAAATAGAAAAAAAGAAAGACTAAATAGAAGAAAAAGAGAAAGTTAATAGAAGGAAAGAAAGAGAAAGAATGAAAATGAAGTGAGAAATAGAAAGAGAGAGGAAGAGGAAGAGAAAGAGGGAGGAAGTGAGAGAGAGAGAGAGAGAGAGAGAGAGAAAGAGAGAGAGAGAGAAAGAGAAATAGTCGATTGAAAACACAAAAAAGCACGAAATAGACAAATGGAAAAAATTAATGAAAAAAGAAAAAATATAAAAAACAAAAAAAAATCGTATTAGAACAAAGGCAAATAGACAATAAACCTAATAAAGCAAGAAAGACGTGCAATCGACTTAGCTTCATTTATAATTGTTGTAGGTATGCATGTTTGCGTGCACGAACGTTTGTATGTTTGTTTCTATGTATGTGTATGTATTTTTGTATATTTGTATGTGTGTATGTATATAAGTTTTGTATATGTTTGTATGTATGTATGTCTGTATGTTTGTTTGTAATATTATTATTAGATTATTTATATATAATTGTATGTTTATATGTATGACGTATGTATGTATATTTGTACATATGTTTGTATGTATATATGTTTTGTATATGTTTGTATGTATGTTTGTATGCTTGTTTTTATGTTTGTTTGCGTGTATGTATGTATGTGTGTGTGTTTATATATTAGTATATATGTTTGTATGTGTGTGTATATATATGTTTTAAATATGTTTGTATGTATGCTTGTTTGTGTGTTTGTTCATCTTTTCCGTTTTCATTTTTTTCATTTTTATCTTTGAGTACTCTAATTGGTTCTCCAATGTACAGCATATCATCAACATATGCGTTGATAACTGCTTTTTTAAACAATATTTTACATAAAGCCACTAACATTTTTAATTCAAAATTCAATAAAACTCTAAAAAACAAAAAAAACACACAAAAAATATTTAGTTTTTCTTAAAGTAACCAATGTACGAACCAGAACGTAGGCATTGGCCTCGTCGTAGAGCCTGCAACATCCTTGTAGATCGGCAAACTGTCGAATGCCGATGCAGTTGGAAGGATGGAGCTGTTTGGAGAGGAACCTGGAGCAGACGATAGATGCTTCCGGAAGTTGTAGGAGGCAGGAAGCTGATAAGATGCTCTCTACTGTGTCCTCACGCAAGTCCAATTGTCCTGAGGTGTGTGGTGTTGTGTGGGTTTGGTGATTTTGTTGCGTGTGTGTGTGTGTGTCTATGTATGTTGTGTCTGTGTTTGTCTGTGATGTGTGTGTGTGTGTGTGTGTGTACGTGCATGGTTGTGGGTGATGAAAACGGTGAAGAAGAAAATTAAATTACTATTGAAAGTTTATGAGAGAAGAGTTGTAATAAAATAAAATAATTTAATGAAAAAGATTTCTTCAAATGTTTCTGTTTCGTTGTGCGAATGTGCGTGCCAGCGCAAAAAATTCTCCCGTTAAAACGAAATTGAATAAAAGAAAATAGAAGGATAAAAATTTCAATATTTTCAACGATGAAAAAAACGCAAATGCAGACGACGAAGACACGCAGAATGTAGGAACAAATTTTCTATTAAAAAATGAAAGAACGCTGATGTTTTGTTATTTAATCTTTTTTTCCGTGGTTAATGTGATATTTGTTTTGCAGTTTTTTCTGCGTTTCGTTTTGTTTCGTTTTACTAACTTGTCTTATAATATTCAAGGCGACCAGACTCTATAAATTTGAAAAAAAATTTATGGTCAACCCTTTAACATTTATTTTCTATGGAAGTTTTTGCTGCTTAAACATAATCTTGCATTGTTTTGTATATTCCAGTAATATTATTTTGGGTTTTTTTCGGCACATTCTTTAAATTAAATTAGCGATTAAAGAGAAGGAAGAGGTTTCGAGAAAAAAAAATTCACAAAAAATTTAAGGCGAGCGATGAAACGAATGTAGAAAGAAACAAGACGTAATAATGCGGAAATAAATTTTAAAAAATTTGACGAACATAAAATTTAAGAACCCTTAACAGCAATTCAAAATAACGCAACTGAAAGTATCATTAAAAAAACCCAACGCCAACAACAACAAACATCACCTCAACCTTAACAAACAACAACAAAAACGCAACAAGAAACAGCAAGACCCAAGAAAGGACAACAAAATTCAACACAACAACATAAAATGTACCAACAACAAAACAAACAACAAAAAACAACTACCAACAACAACAACAACGATACGAAACGCACCAGCAACAAACAAACATTCGTTGATAGGGTACACAACAACACGCAACATTGATCAAAGCTTCCCTTTAATAAAACTATAAAAACAAATAAATAGCTTTGTTCCAACTAACATCATCAAACAAAAGCAATTAAGCTACGAATTCATAATACCCCTACATACTTATGTACAGACAAACAGAAATACACATACATATACTTTTGCATCACGTGTGTGTATGCGAGTGTATATGCGTGCGTGTATGCGTGCATGTGTGTGTGCCTGTGTAGGTGTGTATGTGTTTGTGCCTGTGTAGGTGTGTGTAGATGTGTGTGTGTAGGTGTGTGTGCACAACTGACTCATCATAGGAAAGATTAACACATATTTTTTTATTTTCATAGCATACTTTCTAAGTTTGTTTTCATTCAGTAATTACTGATAACAATAATAATAATAATAATTTTATTTTTCTTTTTATTATTATTTCAGCCTTCTAGAATTTATTTTTGTTTTTTCCCGCCAATTCGTTATCACAACCCGCAGTTCGAAAGATTAAACGCTTGGCTTATTGTTTGTTTTAATTTTTTTTATGTGTTTTTATTATTATTGTTATTATTATAATTATTAATATAATTCTTTTTATATTATTTAATTCCATTATTTTTATTATTGTTTCTTTTAATAATATTATTGATTTTTTTTTAAATTCTCATTTTTCTAATGAAAAAAACTTTGTCGATATATATATATATATGGTAATGTTAATGATGACGACGATCCTGATGATGATGATTACAATGATGATGATGATGATGATGATGACGATGATGATGATGGTGATGATGATGACGATGATGATGATGGTGATGACGATGATGATGATGGTGATGATGATGACGATGATGATGATGGTGATGATGATGACGATGATGATGATGGTGATGATGATGATGGTGATGACGATGATGATGATGGTGATGATGATGACGATGATGATGATGGTGATGATGATGACGATGATGATGATGGTGATGATGATGACGATGATGATGATGGTGATGATGATGACGATGATGATGATGGTGATGATGATGACGATGATGATGATGACGTAATGATTCAATCAAAACCATCCTCATTAATCATCCAATCTCAACAACCGTCGACACGACACATTCGAGTTTGTAATCGTCGTCATCATACAATCATCACCATAATTATGTTAATTATTATGTTAATTATTATGTTAATTATTATGCTAATTCTCATGCTAATTATTATGCTAATCATTATGTTAATTATTATTTTTTTACTTATTAATTCTTATAATTGACGTCAACCATAAATAATATATAATTGTACATAGCATTATTAATATTATCACTCACTCACTCACTCACTCACTAACCCACAAACTCACATTCATTCATTCAATCCCTCACTCATTCAATCCCTCACTCATTCATTCACTCACTCACTCATTCACTCACTCATTCATTCACTCACTCACTCACTCACTCACTCATTCACTCACCTGTATAGATGTACCTAACGCAAGCAACCAGGGCGTCAGGTTCAACCTCCTTGATGACCACTTCCTCGAGGTCAGCTTCCAGAAGGTCGCTAGTAAACATGGCCGCAAAGTAGTCAGACGCTGCCGCCAGGACCAGACGATGCGCCGGAACTCGACGCCCGGAAGTTGTGATCAAGACTACGTCACAGAGCTTATTTAGTGTTTTTTGGTTCAATTATTCATGTCTGGTGAAACAAATGTACTAAAGAGGTTTATTGAATCGGTTCTAAGTGCTAGTAAGTGTTCATTAACATCATTATCATCACCATTATCGTCATCAACATCACCATTATCATCATCATCAGTGCCACCGACACCATCATCGTCATCATCACCATCGTCATCATCACCATCATCATCATCACCCACTTGTCGTCTGTGAAGGTACATCTCCATTCGTTGCATCATTCTTTCCGCATGCTCAAGTTGATGGTGTTGGTGCTGCTGCTGATGATGATGGTTTTGTTGGTGTTGTTGTTGATAATGATTGTGATTTTGATGTTGACCGTAACGGAAGTAGGTAGACTCTTCCGTTTCCTGTGACGTCTTTCCGGTCATGTGCGCGCTCTGCATTAAATACCTGATGGGACGTGGATAGATGGATGGATGGATGGATGGATGGATGGATGGATGGATAGATAAATGGATGGATGGATGGATGGATGGATGAATGGATGGATGGATAAATGGATGGATAGATGGATAAATGGATGGATAGACAAACGGATAGATGTGACGTAGATAAATAGATGGGACGTTGGTGTATGGATGAATGGATGGATAGATAGATGAATGAATTAAATGATGGATAAATATTTGAATGAATAAATAGTTGAATGAACGACGGCGATGATGATGACGATGATAATGATGATAGTAATGACAATGATGATGATAGTGAAGAAGATGAAGACGATGATGATGACGATGAAGATGATGATGAGTAGAATAATGATAATAAATTCGGAGAAGAGTTTAGCATTCCACACCTCAAGCCATCTCCATTCTTCAAACACAACTGATTCGCTTGGTCCGTTTGTTCAGTAGTTTTGATGTTGTTGTTGTTGCTGCTGTTGTTGCTGATTTTGTTGCTGTCGTTGTTGCTACTGTTGTTGCTGTTGTTGATGTAGTTGTTGCACATTGACAACATCTCATTTTTCAACGAGGATAGATTATTTATCGTCGTTGTTGATGTTGTTGTTGTTGTTGTTGATGTTGCTGTTGATGATGATTGTTGAAGTGGCGGAGATGGTGATCGCAACACATCAACGTTGAAAAATGACGGCGACGTGTTGCGATTTGACGAAGAAAACGGGTAACACCTAGATAACGATAAAAAGTTGCAGTTAGTAGTGGCGCCGTTGCTGCTGTTGCTGCTGCTGTTGCTCATGATGTTGAATTTTGTTTTCGTCGGAACGGCAACATTGTTGCTGCTTTCGTTAGACGAAATTGCAACGCTACGTAACGTGATGTTGTTTATCTGTGTTGCTGATGTTGTTGTTGCAGAGAATGATGATGAAAGTTGTTGTTGTTGCTGCTGTTGTTGCACAAGTAAGTGATCAGTTGATGATGAGTTGTCGCTTAACAGTCTAGCGTACGAGTGCAAAAATGGTGTTGGTGTTTTTGATCTTCTGTTGAGTTTGATGTTGTTTTTATTATTGTTGTAGTTGTTGTTGATGTTGTTGTTGATGTTGTTGTTATTATTAATGTTGATGTTGTTTCCACAGTTCCAATGTTTCAATGACAACAACCCGTCACATGATTTAATCGTAGAGCTTGTTGTTGTTGGTGTTGTAGATTTGTTAAGAAGATTGTTGCATCCAATGGTCGAGTAGTTGCTTTCATGTTTGTGTTGTTGTTGTTTGTTGTCTATGTTCATCACGTTGCTGACATTATGTAGTTGCTGCTGATGCTGCTGCTGAGTGTTATCATCTCGACGACAATTCAGACTTTTAACATGTTTCAAATGTTTTCTGGGCAAACTTCCAGAACATTCTACCAGCGGTTTATATTTACCGCAACTTACCATGTTGAGGTTGTTGTTGCTGCTGTTGTTGTTGTTGCAGTTGTTGTTGTTGTTCTCCAGGTCACGTGACGTAGGCGGTGATGACGTCGACGAAGAAGCCAACGATGAAAGATTCAATCTTTGCTTCAGCGCTCGTAATTTAGATCCACATATTCCGCCGCCATAACTACCGCCGCCAAAAATACTTCCACCACTTCCACCACCGATGCTGCAATTGCTACTCGAAATATTGTTACTATTGTTACAGTGGCTGTTGGTGTTAGTGCTACTGCTGCCACTAACCGAGCGTTCGTGTTTTGTTGTTTCGAAATTTGGGTAGTGTGCGGTAACGTTGATGTCATTTTGTTGGGTGTTGTTAAAATTTGTTGACGTTTTGTTGTTGTTGTTGTTGTTGTTGATGTTGTTGTGAGTGCATAACAATAACGTCGCTTCGTTGATGTTGTTGTCGATTTCGTAGTTGTTGTAATCAGCGTCATCGTCGTCGTCATCGTCACCGTTTTTGCTTATGAATTTATGATTGCTAATTTGGTTCTTAATTCGAGGCGATGCTTTGATGTCATTGTTGTTGTTGTAGTTGTAGTTGTTGTTGTTGTCGTCGTTTAACAACAATTTCATTTTATCTTCATGACGTTGTTGTTGTTGTGTCATGTTGTTCTGACTTGTAAATTGAATTGTAAACTGAGTTGTAAGCTGTACTAGTTTATTACTGTTAATAAATGCTAACGAATTCTTAAAAAAATACCATTAACACTATTTAGTATAGTAGTAATTTATTACAACTAAAATCAATTTTGTCAGTTAGTAATGTTATAATATGACTTCTCGTAGCACTTATTAATAACTTTCGCCTTGTTTTTTAGACAGCTGTAATTTTGTAGTAACTTTCAGTAAAGTTTTACTTTCTTGCTATTTCAAAACTTTAATTGACTAATTAATTAAGTAATTAATTAACTTAATTATTTAAAAAAACGGTGATTTAAAGTTTGAGGTTTAAAAAAATCAATAAAAATTTATATATAAAAATTTAAAACCATTTAAAATAAATCTACTTAATTTAAATAGTAAAAATACTTCATAAAGTAACAATACTAACATAACACAGAAATAATTTTACAGAAAAACCTCAGTTGAAATCTGTCTGTAGCAGGGCCAAGAGCTAAAACGAACAATGAGTCCATATGATCATAGAAACTACTTTTATATCATCTGATATGTGTGTGTGTGTGTATATATATATATATATATATATATATATATATATATATATATATAATATATATATATATATATGTATATGTGTGTGTACTTAGTGTGTGAGAATGTGTGCACGTGTGAAAATTTAAAAAAATCCCACAATTTAATGTTGCATCCTTTCTTTATAAAATTCACAACAGTTTTAATTGTTTCGAATGAAACTTCGCTGATTGTTTTATGAGATAATTATTTCAGAAAGAGATGATGATGACGACGAAGACGACGACGACGATGATGATGATAAAGATGATGATGATGAGGGAGGTTAAAGTTCAGCAAAAGCCAACCAGCCGGCCAGCTTAACTTACGTTGCAGGCTGTGTTTAAATTTAACGAGATGCAATGAGCCAAGGTGAAAAGATAACGATGGAATGACTGAATACAACAAAGATTATCATCACTATCGTGATTATCATTATCATCTATAAATCATCATCATCTTCATCTTCATCATCATCGTCGTCGTCATCATCTATGAATATTATCATCATCATTATCAAATTATTTAAGGTGATTAATGTCAGTCTCATTGTCATCATAATCAACGTTATCATCACCAGGCGCATAAAAATCGTCGCCATCATCACTATCATCATCACCATCATCATCATGAACCATCACATCACGTGTTTTCTGTTCACCTCTGCCAAACTCCTTAATGGCTTTTAAGCTTTTTTCAAAAAAAAAACTCTTTTAACATGCATTTTAAAACAAGAAAAAAAAGAAAAGAAAAGAGAGAGGAAGTAGATGATGAAAAAGAAATTGAATAAGAAGAGGAAGAATAATGATGATGACGATGATGACTATTGGAACAATATGAATGATGTTAAATTTTAGTTTATTCATAGTTGTCGAATTGTTTCAATTCAACGTATAATCCTTCTATAATTGCTACTTTATTCATTCAAAAAATGTATATTTGTCCTGGTTGTTGGACGATCATGCCCTCCTAACCATAACCCATAATTTTGTTTGCCATTTTGTAAAAAGTTCTTTGTAGCTACACGTTCACTCATTTTTAATTTGCATCTTTTTGTCTTTAATGTATCAAATTTATCAATTTATCATTAATAAATTTTTCTTTAATATACGCAGCAGCAATTAAACGACAAGACGTTATGTTTTGTTTGTTTCATACTGACAGACAGAATTTGTTCATGCAGAGAGGTCAAAAAATTTTTATGATTCGTCATATTTTATATGAAAAAATCGATTGATCACGCATTGACCTGGTTCAATTGCTAACTTTTCCCACGCATTCATTCCATCTCGGCGACTCAAACTCTATTCATTTGCAGCTTGTTAAGGAATAATGTGTTCAAATTTTTTGTCTTTCATAATCTAATGTGAGTAAATTTCGATCATAATCATGGTCTCGAATGGGTAAGTTTTGCAAGGAATCTATTGATTTCCAATTATAAATGTGCGTTCTATGCTCGTTGCTATGGAAACCAATAGACCATTTTCGTAACGAATTGAATGTTGTTGTTTATGTTTATATCTTCTAAATTTCAAAATAATAAACTTAAAAAATATTTCGCTCGTTAAAATCTAAAAACTTGGCAATAAATTGTATAAAGTTTGCTAAAAACTGTTTGTAATGAATGAATCTTAATGTAAAAAACAGTGATATTTGAATACTTGCTAAATTTTCTTTAACGATGGTGAGATGATTCTATTATTATTAAATCCGACAATTTGGCAAATAAACTTGAAGAGAGCAGAATGAATCTATTTGGGGCATTGAACGCGACCACCAGGGTCACTCCCTACCTCTTTTTGGGCTCCATTGATTCTCTGAATAAGGACAAAATTAGGCAACTTGGTGTAAGTATGGTCATAAATTGCGCGAAAGAAATCCCGAATGTTAATTTGCCTGGTGTTGAAGTCATTAAATTAGGTATTGTTTATTTCAAATTATTTTGAAAATAATAATCACTCAAAAACTTCTTATTTTAATAAAAATGATTTTTAATTTATATAACATTCTACAGCACCAACATTTAGTTAATCATTTTTTGACATTTTGCAAAACCAACGTTTACAGATATTGACGACATACCTAGCGCAAAAATAGAAGATTACTTTGATCAATGTTCTGATCTCATAAGGAGCGTCAAGAATCGAAATGGACATGTCCTGGTGCACTGTGCTGCTGGCGTCAGTCGGTCCGCTTCCATTTGCCTGGCCTACCTCATGAAACATCATGGCATGTCTTTGAGGAGAGCTTACTCGCATCTCAAAGTTAAGAGACCCATCATAAGACCGAACGTTGGATTTTTTCGGCAGTTGATGGAGTATGAAAAAAAGTTATTTGGAAATAGTTCGGTCTGTTTAGTGAGATCTCGTTTGGGATTGGTACCGGATGTTTACGCCGATACCATACCGCCTGGTCTCCACTTTCCAGCACAGAATTTACCTGCATCTTATACGGCACCATATCCACACGTTTCCTCCCGCTTTCACTATACAAGTTTGGCAAATTCCATACCATACCGGTTCGGTAACGATCTTAGTCGCCGTTGGAGTCCATGATGCTCACAGAGTTCTTGAATTGTTTAGATTTTCAGTTAATTTTTTAAACTAAATTGTTCTATTTAATGGTTAATTGTATGCCGAATGGCGTTTAAAAATTGGTTTGCATTTATACATATTTTTTTAAACATTTTTATTTCCAATGTTCAAACATTACCAAATTTATATAGCCATATTTAGACGATGTTGTGACAATTTTTCACCAAATATGCAAGTACATCGCGGCCTCTGTCGAAAGCTCCTATTTATATTTATACATTAAATTTTTGTCAGATAGATATAATGGTATTCATATTCATATACGGTACTTTTTTTATTTTAAATTAAATTTTTATAAATTATTTGCAGACTAAATTTTGTAAACTGTTCAAATTAAACTTATTTATTTCAGAAATTTTATATAACTGTTCAATTATTTAGCTTTGAGAACTTTAGTGAAAATGAAATTGTAAATGGAGAACATTATTTAAAATTTTGATATTTTCCTTACTTATTCTAAATGCAAGTATACTAAATAACTTATTTTTCAGAAATTAAATTGACTGATTGAGGTTTCGTACTTGTTAACAATGTTGTTTTGCATTATGAATTCTCAATAAAGTGAATAAATATTAAAAAATCGCACTTTTTGAAGTTTTATTGCGCATATGCACATTTCTTTCTCATCTTCAACTGCTCTCAAATGTTCTTGTAATATAGTTTATTCGAAGTATTTATTTTTAAAATTTGTGTATATTGGCTTTTCGGAGGCCCCCTTTTGATCAGAGGCTCGGGGCGGTCCTCCCCCATCGGTACGCTAGTGAATATATAACTTCTAACTTGAATTTCTCTTTCACTCGATCAATGAAAATTAATTTGAAATAGGTTCATTTTAAAATTTACACTATTCAAGCAGAAAAAACACTGAATGGAAAGCAAACCATAAAAATACCTACTTTTTCAATATTAGTAAAAACGCGGCATTTCAATGACGTGTGAGGTATAAATATAGCACAGGATTTTCCTGCTATATTGATGATGTTTCTAATGAAATACATAAGTATATAGGTATACATAAATATATATATATATATATATATATATACGTATATGGGTATATTTGAATGCAGATAGTAATGTGTTGTACTGTGTTTATAGAATGTTCTTTATATAAGGCTGTATTTAATATAGCATACCAGACATACTTATAATATGATAAACATATGTTTAAGCTATTTATAAGCTGAATTTTTTATATGACTATTAAACACTATTGCGTTTATTTGTAATGCTCAATGTATGGGATTTATTCTAAGTTATCTACTCTAACCTGTGTATGTTATATGATTTGCTATGTGGTGATGTACAATTGTACATCTTATGTATAAATAACGTTGTTAGCTAGCTCTTGAGGTTGATAAATGTTTCGTCACAATATCAGAGAAAGTAATGTTTTGTCATCATTTTGTATTTCATGTTATATTTAATACAAAAAAAAATTATATTTAAACGAATTTTAAGCGTCGTGAAGTTGATACAAAAATAAGATATTGTATCCCTGTTCAATTTGAAATAATATGCTATCATATCCCGTCCTGGTAGAATCTATAATAATTGTGGTATTAATACTAAGAGGAGCGTATAATAATTATAATATTTTTAAAGTAATTACTCCAATTAATAATTTGAATAACAGTTATAATAAGAATAGTATTGGTAGACGTAGAGGAAGAACTTATTTAGAGAAAGAAAATATAACATTTTACTCGAGGAGTGGTTATCAGCCTTCAAACATTTCCTGATTTTAAAATAAAATAGACTTAAATAAAAAAAATAAATAAATAAAATCGATTAATTATAGTCCATTCTTCATTGTATCAGTGAGAGGGGATTAATAATTAACTTATTTAATTATTAAATCGAGAAAAATATGGCGAAATTGCTCGAAAAGATGGTGGACATAGAATGCTTATTGCTCAGTACAAAGACCATGCCCCATTGTACTTCTTCCTCCATCGCGACCACACCACATGGTAAACTAATTTAAATTTATTTACTACAATGGCCACCTTTCTTTGTTTATTTTCTTTTCGTTATTTATTTATTTCTTTTATTTTTACGATTCCTTTTTTTTTATATTTTGTCATGCTGAGCTATATATATGTGTGTGAGTATCGTTATTTTTCGTTTGTTAGCCTCAAGTTTGTTTGTTTCATCGAATTTTCCAATTTTTTAGGCAATTTTTGACGTGGTTGATATTGTTTCACTAAATTGCGTGTTAGGATTGGGATTATATATGGAACCTAGTGGGTATTCTTGTTAAAGTCACATGCTCATTTACGAAATTTTTCGATTAAAAGTGAATTTTTATTAATAGTTTAATAATAATTTTCAAGTCTAATGCTAATCTAGCTAATTACTAAACTCTATAAATAAAATATTTTCAGGATACTTCAGCTCAGAGGAGATAATAGATTACTCAGGAAAATTTGGCCTGTACAACAACAAAAGAGTCCAAAATATAAATTACGCTAATTTGATGATTAGGTGCTTCAAAAACATCATGATGGAACGAGAGAAGAGAACGAAAATTGTAAATGGGGATGGTGAAGAGAAGAAAGAAAGTTCAGAAATGGAAGAGTGCAGGTACATTGTGTCAATCAGTCGAAGTAGCAGTGTCGATGCCGATGAACTATTTGATGAGGATGATGACAACAACGATTATGAAAATATTTTAGCTGTCGACATAAAAACCATTTGTCATCCTAGTGATGCTACAAATGATAATTATGGGAATACTAATAAAATTAATAATGCTATTGCTTGCAGCAGTATTAGCTGTGATAATAAAGATGATGATGACAAAAAACCAACAACTATAAAAACTGCAGAACCATCAAGAATGACAACGATACAACAAAGTAAACAGCAAAGTAAACAACATTGTGATTTTGCTACTGTGGAGTTTTTTGAAGAACAGCGTGTAAATAAAGAAGAGTTTGTAGAAGTCGTTGATGCAGTTGTTGAACAGGTTTGTACCTGCAGTTTGGTAACAACTCCTCTCATATCAGAGTGTCACATAATCAAACATTTTGTAAAAATGCATTTTTCACAAGAAAACATCTGTACCATGGTAGATAGTGATTCTAACACTCGTCTGCAGGGTAAATCAGCTCCGTTATCATCATCGTTATCGACACCTTCATCTTGTGCCGGTCAGTTACGAAAATCATCACCACCTACTTTATCATCTCCACCAGCTGCATCATCATCTTCACCGTCTAAGTTTTGGAGTTGCATGTCTTCACGGTCTGATGATAAAAATGATGAAAGTACTACCGATGATGATTGTGACGAGGAAGATTGCCTCACGGACACAAAAGTTACTGTATCTAGGAAACTGGAAAACAGTTTTTTGAAATCAAAACATAATGAAAAAGATGATGACGAGGATGATGAAGAAGATGATGATGATGAAGAGGATGATGATGATGACGAGGAAGATGATAATGATGAAGAGGATGATGATGACGATGGACAGAGTTTGGATTTTGACGACGATGATGATGAGGAGGAAAACACTAATGCTTCATTATCCAAGATGATCGGCAGCCATTCACCATCTAATGATGACGACGATGATGACTTCATAGTTTTTGAAACTGATGGTGACGCCATCGTCGGTGATGATGATGATGGTGGTGATGATGATAATGAGAATGGTGGTGTTGATGAAGATAGTGATAATGATGGGGGTGATGACGGTAATAGAAATTCTCCAGAAAGATCAACAACTACTGATAATTCAGAATCCTGTGGTAATGTTTCGAACGATCAACCCGCTAAAAAGAATAAAAAGGTAACTGTGTTGATGCTCTGTAGTGTCTCTCTGTCTGTCTGTTTGTGCATGTACAGATTTCATTTACTTCTGTATATTTACTGTTAATTTTTTGTGTATCGTATGTAAATGTTTATTTTGTTTACTGTCATTTGGACATTAAATTTCGTTTATTAAAAAAAATTTGGTTAATTTTTTAACGTTAATTAATTAATTAATTATTAATTTCGTTTATTTCTCCAACCCACAGAAGGTCAGATTCAGCGACACAGTTGACTGTCAAATCATAGATGAGGGTGACGAGAAGGAATGCCGCAAGGGGCATTGGGAGCTGTTCGCTCTCGATAGGGCTAGGTTCAGGAAGAGAATCAACGAAGCAGAACCCGTCCTGGCCTGGCTGTTCTACCCCAACCACAGAATTAAGATGGCCGAGATAGTTGAGGAATTTCGCAGAAGAATGCATCATCTCTAAGCTGGAGAACTCAGCATCGTTCTGAATTGTTTTCTCTTCACTGACCATGTTATTGTAACTGTTATTGTTGTCGTCATCATTGCCATTGTCGTCGTTGTCTATAGTCGATACATAGTCTTCTAAACATCAAAGCATTATGTACATATCCAACCTAAGTGTTGCCTTGCTAATCATTTCTCGTCTTTCGACTTCATTTCAATAATTTAATTTCTCTGACCTTCTGTATTTTTCTCATGGGGATGTACTTTAGATTATTTATTTATGCTCATATTTGAGTATTTGTATGTGCTCTGTCTAGATTTATTAATGTTTTCTGTCGGTTTTTTTCATCCATTAATTTTGCCTGTATGTGTTTGTTCTTTTATGTTGTTTGAGAGATTTTCTCTCAGTCTGTCTGTCCGTCTGTCTGTCTGCCTGCCTGCCTGCCTGCATCACCATCATGTCATTTTTTTTATCAGCAGCATTTAACTTATTTATTACGCCACATCAGGTTTAAAAAATTAGTGAATTGTACTGATTTTATTCTGACGTCTATTATTATCCCTAGATAATTATTTTTATTTTTTTTTTAAAGTAACGAAAATAACAACAAAATAAATTGCATCAAACGAATTCCTATTTTCATAATAATTATAATTGGTCATATGAACAATGATTGACTTGAACTCTATCAAACGTTCCAATTTGCGATATTCTTCTCTTTTCTACTACTTTTATTTTTTATTTAAATTTATTCATGTATAGCATTCAAACTTCTTATCTGATGAACTTTGCTTTAGAATTGTGTTTATATAAATACACACACATACATGCACGCATACGTACACACACCATGCATACGTAAGCACACATATGCATACATGCATGCTTATATTCTTATCAACTAATCAGATAAATGAATGTGCTTCTTTGTTTCAAGCTGTTTGATGTCATTTTTTAATATAAATTTTCGTTCGTTTTTAATTAATTTAATTGGATAACAGATCGGACTATTAATGATTTTGATTGGTGATTTATTTTAAACTGCATCACACACGCATATACATACATAAATGCATACATACAAAAACATGCATACATATTGTATAATAATACAGTGTATAATTTCCTATAGCTTATTACGTGTAAATATGTAGATACTGTACAAAAATTATGTTTTATGGAAATGTTTTATTATATATCATCATTATGATGTAATTGATGTATAACATGATGCCGAATTAAAAATGATCAAATGATTACACTTATGCACGTTGTTTTAGTGCTGTAATATGCGAGTTAACAGTTTAAAAGTTATGAGACCGGGCGCGTACAGTATAAAACATTGAGTTTAACAGACAATAATATAGAACACTTTTTTTTGTTAATGATTAGATTTATAGAAAATTTAACATAAAGTACTGGAAGCATTTTTAGATTGAAGAAGTATGTTACATTCTATGGTTACCTTATGTAATTAGTTCAGTCTTTGCAACAACTAATAGCTTTTGCTGTAAGTATGTGTGAATTTATTCTAGATTAGTTAAGTAATTATTCAGGGTTTCCTCTACGACACCTTCCGATTACACATTTCCATGCTCAGAGGAATGAGCTCCGTATAAATCTATTGAAAAACAACCAACGTAATTTAACATTTCAGCACCATATTTAAAAAATCAAAGTATACTGCGTATTCAGTAATACTTAGTGATAAATATTAGATCGATTCCACTTACTATTGATAAAAAATATCGTGTTTTCCATTACCATATTATACATTATCCTGCCCAGGAGTTTATGTACTACATGAATCCAGAAAAAAGCCCACCAGTTTTGTTTTTTTTAAATTTACTTTATCAACGACAAATTTTAATAAACCTCGATCTATTATTCGTGTTCTGCATTACCCATGAATATATATTGATCGTGTTCTTCAAAACCATGGGTATATATAATATATCCATGATTTTACCCATGGTGAAACCCTGGGTGAACCATGGGTAAAATTTAAAAGTATCCATCCTAATGCTAATCTAATCTATGCTATTTTCTGTGTTTACATATTTTTTTAACTAGGAGGCTGTGTTATGGCGATTGTGGATAATATAATTTTTTAATGGCCGATGTTCTTTTTTCGTACTGTAATTAATTTTAATTAATAAATAAATCAATTGATTTGCATTTTAAATATGCGCGTTTTTTAGTGTCCACTGGCTGCTGTTTGATTTTTAAAGGAAGCGATATTGTAAGAATTTATCAATCTTCTTCTATTTTAAAATTACTGATTGGATTTTTAGTTTTTCTCTAAAAACTTTTATATGGGATCAAATCAGAAATTAGTGGATTATTTCGTAATTTGTGGCCTTAATGTTGAATCTGGCCTAGAACCTGACAAACTTGCTGGTAAGTTAAATATTTTATTTTAAAAAATTGTAAAATAAACCTTATAGTTTTTTTCATTGATCAGCTGATCTTTATTCTGGGCTGAGTGATTATCATTTTAAAAATAAATTACTAAAATATGTTTGTATATTATATATAATATTTGCATATGCCATATGATATGGATATGTTCTAGATCAGTTTTAGTTTTAGAGATTAATGTCCTTTTTTCATGATTTAAATAATTTTTAATCTTTTGTCTGCATAAACAAAACAATAGGGGATAATTTAGATTGCTCCCCTCTTGAGAGATCATACAAATGCCACATTTTGTCCCACCTCCCCGAATCTGTACCTGGCTTCCCATTCGATGGAGAAGCTGTTGCCATGGTTTTTTTTGCATTTGCATATTATATCACTTATATTATAAATTATATATTAATGTATGTTTTATATGACATGCATGTCCATTTCATTGTCAAACTTTACTCAAATCACTTTTTGTCATTTTTGATTGAAATGATTTTTTTTTCATTAATGATGAAAATTATCTATAACTTTTATCTTGTGTTATTTATTATATTAGATATGAAAGTTGTAGTGTTAAAAAATTAAAAAATAGTTTTGCAATTTTGTTATAGCTATGCTTTCCAAAAGGACTCAGCTTCACAACGAATTGTAACAAACAACAACAGTTGCATACTTTTGTGATAACAAGAGAAGATGGTGCCAGATCATATGGCACGGCACTGACCTTCTATGAGCAGATCGAAAGTCCAGAAATTTGTTTGGCAATGCAAGTCCTGCAAGATATGCACATGGCAGAATTAAGCAATTCCCAATCCTTAACATTGAAACGTCAGAGAGAGAGGCAGAGCATGAGAGCTGTTCTAACGGATGAGTTCAACATCGATCTGCCCAGTAAATATTCCTCGCTGGATCGAGTCACAACATCTCCGTCATCTCTCTCAGCCTACAGGAACGACAATTTCTTCAAGCCCCATCAAAAACAATCGGTCTATCAACGTAACCAAGACATCTTGCATTGTTCCAAATGTATCTGTATCATCTCAAAACTCCCCCTTGTTGATTCCTTCACTAAAATCCTAACAGCTCTCTACGAGCTAATGAAACTCAGCGACACCTCTAAACATCAAGTCAGCACGCATCAGCAGACAGAAACAAAGCCAACCTGCCTACCTCTGGAGAGCTATATATTCAATTTATTGCATGAAGTGGAGTACCTGCCGGCCGGAATGAGCATGCGCATGACAACCTGGAAGGGTCCTGTCATCTGCCAGAGGCCTGGTTAGCTCATTTGCGTCGCATGTTTTGTGTTTTTATGTTTTCATACTTTTTTAAAATATGGCTGTAAATTTGGGTTGCAATTGTGCTTACATTAAAAAATAATATGAAATTATGAATATTTATCATTTTTGTCTGTTTTTTTTATTTGGGAATTTTTTTATTCATTTTGGAATATAGAATATTTAAGGGTTGTCTGGTGAGAAATTGAGAGTTGTCACTAATTCCCAAAATGAGTGATTACTTGAAGTAAAAATTAACCTAAATTCATTACATTAAATTAAATTTTGAATCTAAGAATGTGAATCTAAACTCTTCTGTGTTGGCAGGTACCAACGAATTGCCCTTATGTGATTACCCACTGAGAGGTTTGTTTGACATCTTCAGCGTTGAGGAGGTCATCACAATATTTTCATGCATGTTATTGGAGCATCAGATACTCATTTTTTCTTCAGGTCTGTTTGTCTCTGGTTGTTGTTTTTGTTGTTGCTCGTGATGTTGTTAATGTGTGGTGTGTGGTGGTGTTACATTCTTCATGTTGCTCTGCTAAGTCTGATGTAGTTAATTTTTGTTGCAAATCTTATAAAATTGTAAATTTTTCCACTTCTTGATTTCATCCAGATTATGGAAAGCTGATGTTGGTAGCAGAATGTTTGTGTTGTTTGTTGTTCCCATTCATCTGGCAGCACACGTACGTCCCCATTCTTCCGGCATCTCTGCTCCACTTCCTCGATGCTCCCGTTCCTTTCATCATGGGACTTCAACTGGGACTCGAGGAACAGGAAGCCATCTTTGAAAGTTTTTCAAAGGTTTGAAAATTTTTTAAGTTTAATTTTTTTAATTAGTTTAATATATCTGATTTTTTGAACTCTTTCGTGAAGATGGCTTCTTTTTTTTTTTTTCACGCGGTTTTAAATAAAATGAAATTAAATGTATGTACAACTTTTGTGACAAATATATCACTGCAGGAATAAATTTTTAAGTTGAAAAAAATGACCAGAAAGTATCGATATAGAGAGAAGAGTTCATCAAATGTAGCATAAATTTCTTATTTAAAGCGATTCAACCCCAAACTTGATGACAGCCAAACTCATGTGCAGTGGACATCGACAAGAGAAGGGTAGCTCATCCTGAAGACATTCCCTCCTTCCCTCACCTGCCTAATCTCACAGGGGATGTCAAAGATGAGATCAAGAAGTTGAGGAAGTCGGAGAAGTCATCCCCGTCATCCTCGTCAGCGGAAAGCAGGGATAGTGGTTTCATTGGTTTCATCAGGGACAGTTACTGTGGACCAGATGATGGCAGCGCAGGGGAACCTGCTTCTGTTTCTTCCTCTGGGGCGGGCTTGACACTCAATAATACTGTTTCTGACTGGAGCCTTAATGCCAAAGTGCGTTTTTGAAAATGGATTTCTTGTTCATAAGGTCTTTTTAATTAAATTAAATGCTGCTTATTGTGATCAGCTCAGTGAAAAGTTTGGTGCCAATAATTATTTTTTTTTGATTTTTCGCTCACCCTCTCAACCAAGATGGAAATGTTGCAGAAGAATGAAGCCTTGTCGAAGATGACGGCCCTGGCACGCAAGTCGGGTATCATGTCTTCCATGGATGAGATCAAAGACAGCATATCAGAAGCAGCTATGAACAGGGGGGTGTATGGTGGCAGGCCCTCCAGTGCCAAGTTTGATGAACACACAAAAGATTTGCTCTTCAATTCTTCTATCAGGGAAATTTTTCTGCACTATTTCTTCCAGGTTTGTTCGTTATTGATATCTTTCCTTCTGAAGTTTGACAAATGTGAACTGAATCATTTACCATATTGTGTTGTAAATTCGTTTTAGATATTTGGTTCATATGAGAGTTTTGTCATTCATCATTCCGGATCTGACGTCCAATCATGGCTGAGCAACAGAGAAACAACTCAAAATTTTGACAAAACAGCATTTTTAACCGACCAATCAGAAGAGGCCTTACCTTTCCTGGCTTCCTTCATTGAAACGCAAATGTTTGCCAGTTTCATTGATCAAAAAATCTTGTCACGTTTGGAATCTTCAGCTGCTAACCTAGGAACAAGAGATCGAGAGAACTTTGTTGTCTTTGAAAATCGGCTCAAGTCATTAAAAGATGACCTTCAGCAGTCAGTTGATCAGAGGCCCAGAAGGTTCTACAGGACAGCTGCTGCCAAAGAATCAGGTGGGTTAGCTGCTGGTAGCGGCTTGTGGCTAGCCGCGGCTTTGTGGTTTTGCTCAATTCATGTTCTTATTGCTTTGTGGTTGTTAATATTAACTTGATTTTTGTTAAATTGAACACAAATTTTTAGAGAGTTTCATACAGAAGAGAGCAACCCAGATTGACATAATAGCAACATCTCCGCGGAACATCGAAATAGGCGTCCAACACCGACAACACTTCTTTCCAACATTTCCAAGCAACTGCTTCGATGGTTGCATCCTGCAGGGCAAAAAGTAGGCAAGATGCGATTGGTTGATCGGTTTGATGGCTGATTGGCTGATTAGTTTATTGTTTACTAGATGATTGGTTGATTTTTTTACCGGTGGGTTGGTTGATTTATTTACTGGTTGTTATTTGGTTGATTAAGTAACTGATCTTTGAAATTGCTTAATCTAGATTGATTAATGGATTGATTGGTCAATCAATCAATTAGTCAATCAATCAATTAGTCAATCAATCAATCAATTAGTCAATCAATCAATCAATCAAGGACAAAATCAGCGTTTGAGGAGTGGAGATCGAGATATGGAATGAAGGCGAGAGGCGACAAGACAACATTCAAACAAAGAGAGGTCGTGTTATTTATAATCACCGATGAAGTTGTTGATGTTTCTTCTTTCGTTTGTGTTTCCATTATTTCCAGCATTATCATTATATCACCGAAGTTAATGTTATTTCTATGTTATCATTAACGTCATCGAGTCACCTTCTTTTCAAAATGAGATTCGTTCAAGGCGTTGTAGCATTTGATGTCTTCTAATCTTATTTTGTATTTTTTGAGATCAGTTTTTTGTTGTTGCTGGTTTCAGCTTGTGTCTCGGCCGGCGGAATAAATAAAACAAAACGTTTCGAACATCGCCGTTACGTTCTCGTACTTTTTGTCATCATTATCATTACCCACTCATCTTCCATCATCATCTCATTATCATCATTATCATGGCATCGTGCACATGTACAGTACATCATCATCACTGCATCTTATAGGAATACATGTTAGAGGTGCAGCAAAAAACATCTGGCAACAGCAGCAGCAGTAGCAGCAGCAACAACAACGACAGCAGCTGTAGCAGCAACAACAACAACGCATCACAACAGCAGCAACCAGACACAGACTTCAGAGCCATGGTCAATAATAACTGGAGGTTTATGGAGAGGTTGCTTAAAGAAGTCAAAACTAAAGTGAGGACGGATGACGCACACGCGCGCACACACACACACACACACATACACTAACTTTTGCATATAAACATACAAATCTAAACCTACACACACACACACACACACACACACACACACACACACACACACACACATACACACACACATACACTAACTTTTGCACATAAACATACAAATCTAAACCTACACACACACACACACACACACATACACACACACACAAACATACAGACGAAGCGTATGTTGGTGCAAAAAATGGGAAAGGAAGCTGTGGAATTGGGTCACGGCGAAGTAACTAGGTCAGGTATTGAGGAGAATACGTTGATTGCCAGCCTGTGCGACCTTCTTGAAAGAATTTGGAGCTATGGACTGATCGAGAAACAGGTGGGGTGATGATGGGGACTATAATGATGATGAAGAAGACGACGATTATGAAGATGAGCATGATAAGAGATAGAATGGCGACTAAGATAAGGATGATGATTGTAGTGACAAACAAGATGGCGATGTTGATGATGAAAGTGATGCCGACAACGACGATGATGATGATGATGGTCTTGTGATTTATATTATAATGAGATGATGATGGTGAAGATGATGTAACAGTGATGATGGAGATTCCTGATGATGATGGCTATGTTCACGATGATGGCCACGACGACGACGATGATAACGATTAAAATTATGGTGATGACGTATGATGACGTCATCTCTACAGGACAAATCCTCCCTGTGGTACCACATCACAAGCTACAGCGAGGCGGTCATTAAAAACGATCAAAACAACAACAACAATAACAACAACAATAATAACAATAACATCAATAGAAGCACTGACAATAATAATAATAATAGTCAATTTTCGAACAGAGGTCTGTAACATTGAAATAGATCGATGTTATTATTATTACTATTATTATTGTTGTTATTATTTTTTATTATTATTATTGTAGTGGTAGCAGTTGTAATAGTAGCAGCAGAAGTAGCGGTAGTAAAACTCTGAACTGAACAATTGCTATTGCTATTAATTTTATGTCATTAATTTTGTTCATTATTATTGTTATAATTAATTTGATTAACTATAATTTTGTTGTTATTAAATTATATCATTTTAGCATAATTTTATGTATCAATTTATACTAGAAACACACGACTTATTTTATAACTTAATGGTTTATATTTCTTCAGATTCTACTCTGCCAAACCAAGAGCTACCAGCCTCAACTTCGACCTCATCATCCGCGACAACATCAACGACGTCGTCGTCTGACGGAAATTTGACGTGGCCGATACGACACCACCCTCACCACCACCACAGTCGCAAGTTGAGTCGGGGGCTGGAGTGGCCTGCCATTGAACCACTGCCTATTTCTGTCCTCACGGATTTCCGGTTAGTTTTTTATCTTTGTTTATTTTTTCGTTGTAAGATATCTTTTGTATTTTTTTTCTGATTGGTTTTCTGTAAATATTTTTCTTGTTATGGTGTTCCACAATTTGATTTCTTTGATCTGGGTTTGAATGCAAAAGAGGTCTATGGAATATTTTTACGCGTCTTCATGCGTATTTATAGATGCTGTGTACGTTGGTCATCATTGATACTTTTGAATTTTAGACATTCTCTCTTCCTGACATGCCATAACCCTAGGGCATGTCAGGAAGAGAGAATAAGTGACCTTTAACCTTGACCTTAACCTTTAATCTTTGAAGGAATGTGTTACAGATGACTGAGATCAAGACGTCGGTTGGCTACTCGAGAGCTTTTGTGAGGTTGTCGCTGGAGAAGAAGTTACTCTCCAGACATCTGAAGGAGTTATTTTCTAATCAGGATTTGTTGAGGTTATTGTTGTTGTTGTCTTGCTGTTGTTTGTTTTTGGCGTAATTGTTGTTGTTGTTGTTGTTGTTGTTGGTTTTGTTATCATCATAATCATCATGACATCATCATCGTGGTCGTCGTCGTCGCTTCATCATTACTGGCGACATCTCCATGACGACAGGAAGCTATACAAGCGCCACAGTTTCCTCAGATGCGAGGATGAAAGGGAGCAATTCCTCTATCACCTCCTCTCACTCAACGCCGTCGACTACTACTGCTTCACCAACTCATTCACCAATACAAGTGAAACCTTGTTGTTGTTGTTGGTGGTGGTGGTGGTGGTTGTGATGATAGAGGCGATGGTGTAAGGGTTAAGGTGTAGGTCACAGTTATTGAAGTGACCGGATTCAATTGCGGAGAGATCTCCGACTATCACATGCAACATGTGTGATGTGATGCGTTGTTCCACATGTGTATTCAATTAAATGCGCTGCCTAATTCTTATTGATTCTAATTCCTATCTCTGTCTGAAATATACGACCTGAAGATTTGTATAAAAATGATGCTAATGTTAATGATGATGAGGAGGATAAGTTACATTGCACACACACACACACACACGCGCGCTTACACACACACACACGCACACACTTATGTGTATCGTGTATGTGTACAACAATACAACATACAACCTACACATACTCACCCAGACATGTTGTACAGGATTCTGATCTTTCCTCGGATAAAAATTGGTGGTGGTACTACGACTGCTAATTGCTGGATCAGGTGTGTTTGAGTGTTTGTATGTATGCGTGTATGTATGCGTGTATGTATGTGCGTGTGTTTGTGTGTGCGCGTGTGTGTGTGTGTGTATGTGCGTTGGAGAATTGAGGAATAATTAAAAAATGAAAAAAAGACGAACGAACGAACGAACGAGTGAGCAATTGGATAGGTGTCTTTAATTGCAATGTTAGGTTGAATGCGATTGACAAGAGGACAAAAGGAGGGATGACAGTGATTTTATTCTCATCATTTATTATTCTTCTTTTTCTTAAATTTTATTATTATTATTATTATTATTATTTTTTATTATTATTATCAGATTATCAGGCCAGCTTGGCAGTACGGAAGACTTACCGCTGCCAAAACATTCTCTGGATGTACTGATTAAGGTCTTTTTTATTTAATTACACACATACAACAACACACACACACACACACACATACAACATAGCATATGTACAAATACATACACATGAATTCTCGTGTATTACACTACATGTATGTGATTGGCAGGGATCTCTTTGCATTCGAATCCAGTCACTGCAGCAGTGGAGTCAGACGCCTTAACCATTGCGCCACAATAATGGGATAATATGATACTGATATTGCTTGCTACTGCTGTTCTTATCTAAAGCACAAGAATCTTGGAGTGCTGACAACGTTGAGGATTGGTCATGATAATAGTGGCCTGTCTGCAAAATGGATGGTGGAGCACGTACTCGTGAGGAACGAACTTACTGGACATACATACAAGTTAGCTGATTGATTGACTAGCTGGTTAACTGGTTGGTTGGTTGGTTGGTCGGTTGGTTGACTGGTTGGTATACTGGTTGGTTGGTTGACTGGTTGGTATGCTGGTTGGTTGGTCGGTTGGTTGACTGGTTGGTTGGTGGGTGATATGTTAGTATTACTGATTGATAATAATTAACCCGACCGTTTCAATCACTTATGATCAACAACAACGTAATAACAACAACAACAGCAACAACATGCTAACAACAACAACAAGTACTAACAACAACAACATGCTAACAACAACAGATTCACATGCGGCAGATGGTTGGGCAAGGGGGTGGATGACGGGGCCCTGGAAAGGTTGCTGGTGGCCGAGATGGTTCCACCTACTGTCGACTCCAATGGTGCACTTTTTTATTTTTTTTTTAATTATTATTTCGTTATTGTTATTTATTTTATTATTTGTTTTCATTATTTTTTATGTTTTTGGAGAAAATGTTTTTCCCTTAAGTTTTACTTTTAAATTATTTTTTTTCGGTCTTTTCCTCACTTCGTTGTAACATTTTTGTCAAATGGATGGAAAAATGGATCCATCCAAATCTATATTGAGTTAATTAATTATAAGTGAACACAAGGGTAGAATAGATGGATTTAAATTGCATTAAACTGAGGCTTGAGTTAAATCGAAATTTACATTTTATTAAATTGAAATTTTATACAAACATTGAACTAATTTCAGAGTTGATTGAAAGGTGCCGAACGCCACCTCGCTGCAGATCTCCGAGTGCGTCCGGTCGACACATCGAACCAAGTTCGTTGACGATTTTTTTTAGGGATTTTTTCAATGTGGAATTAATTAATTGAAAATAACAATTATTATTATTTTTATAAGCCATCCATCAATCTATCTGTCCATAAATCATTCATTCATCCATCCATTTATCCATCCGTCAATCATTCTTTCATCTATCCATCCATTTTTTCATCCATCTATCCAGGGATTTCAGTGAATGAGATCAGGGAGAGGTTGGGGGGATCCATCAACAGTCTTGTGAAACATTTCTGCAGGAGTGAAAAAGATGTACGTGGATGATGATGATGATGATGATAACGATGATGATGATGGTAATGACGACGACGATGATGACGATTTATTATTATTATTATTGTTGTTGTTGTTATAGAGAGGTAGTTTGACCATCTTATTGTGTGGTGAGAGTGGTCTGGTCTCTAGCATGGAGTTGATCTTTCAGTACGGATTCAGATCAGCCCGACTATTTAGGAATAGATTTTTCATCTGGGACTTTTTAGGTTCGTTGGATGGATTGTTGGTTGGTTGGTAGGTTGATTGGTTGGTTGGTTGAATTGTTAGTTAGTTGGTTGGTTGATCGATTAATTGATTGGTGATTGGTGGTTGATTGATTTATTTATTAATTGATTGAAAATTTAAAAATTTCTAAACTCAGAAAAGGTGATGACGTGCTTCGAGTCCCTGCTAAAGAACCACGATTACGTCATATCGGCCGAGATCCAGACGTCCATGAAATCATTCTGCTACGTCGTCTCAAGGATTGATCGGGCGCCTCAGGCTGTCGGGAAGGACGAAAGATTCCAAATGTTCATCTGCTTCGGAGTCAGGTTGGCTGGTTGATTGATTGGCTGGTTGATTGGTTGGTTGATTGGTTGGTTGGTTGATTGGTTGATTGGTTGATTGATTGATTGATTGATTGATTGACTGATTGACTAGTTGCTTGTTCGATTGGTTGTCTGGTTGATTAGTTGATTGATTTGATTGATATTGGTAATAATAATGAGGGTGCTAATGGCCGCAATTAAACTACGACGATAACGATCATCATAATCGCGCACACACACACGCACACGCGTACACACACGCACACAAACAAACACGTAGGGATCGCTTATTACCTCGTTACATGAAACTGGTGAGTCGGAGTCCTGTAACCATCTCGATGTACGAGGAGCAGTCGTTTCTGAGAGATCCGCAGAAGTTACAATTCGTCCTTGACCTCTTGGAGCCCCTCAAGGAATTCAACGTCACACTGGAGTCGTCCATCATTCGTGGGGTTGAATTGTGATTGGTGGGGCGTGAAGGGTGATTCGGTGGGGATCATTTTGTTGTTGGGTGTTGTTTGTTTGGTGGGTGTTCTTGTTTGTTTGTCTGTTGTTGTTCGTTGAGTTTTTGTTGAGTGATTAGTGTGTGTGTGTGTGTGTGTGTGTGTGTGTGTGTGTATGTGTGTGTGTGTTTGTGTATGGATGTACATACTTATGTGTGTGTACGTCGCAAATGTTTGTGTGTATGCGTGTTTGTCTGTATGCGTGTGTATTTGTGTACGTGCATGCGCGCGTGTGTGTTTGTGTGTTGTTTTGTTAGGCGTTGGGTTGGAAAGATTTGGTGAATTTGAATTTTCAAATCAGTTCTTTACAAGTTGATTTTATTCGATTCCATTTTCATTTCAAATGTTTTATTCTTATTTTTTAAATATACAAATTGAGTCAACTGATTTTATTAAGATGATGATTTTATTAAGATTATTTTATTGAAATGGTTTTATTGAGATGATTTTAATTTTAATTTACTCTCGATTTAATGAGTGTTGTCACGATTTAAAATGTTTTCTTCTATTTTTATTTTTGATTATTTCGTTCTTTCCATCATCCTCATTATTTTATAGTTAATGAATAAAATAATAATCTTTATAGTTTATATTTCATAAAAAGTTATATGTAATATCTAAAGAATTATTTCCATGTATTCATATCTAATTCATCTTCAATCGCACGCGCGCACACACACACATACAATTTTGTTATTATTGACCATTTTTAATATAAAGTTCATTTTATCTGAGTTCAGTTAAAATCAGGATTGCTAATTTATTTAAAGAGTTGTAATTTGGTCTATCCATCTATTCTTTCTGATATACAGTCAAGAGTTTAATTGTTTAACCGTTCATTCGTTCATTCATTCATTCATTCATTCATTCATTCATTCATTCATTCATTTATTTATTCATTCAGTTATTCATAAGCCTATACCTTATTTCGCATATTAAACTCATTTTTTAAATGATTCATTTAAAAAGGCTAATAAAGAAATTAAAACTTGTTCATTTAACAAATCAAAAGATGATTTTTCAACGTGTTCTTTTCGGCTGTCTATATCTATCAAACACTATTTTATTGTATGTATATGTATGTGTGTATGTATGTGTGTGTTCGCGTTTGTTTGTACGTGTGCGTGTGTGTGTATTTGTGTGAGTGCGTGTGTGTGTGTGTGTGTGTGTGTGTGTGTGTGTGTGTGTGTGTGTGTGTGTGTGTGTGAGTGTTTATCTCTATGCCTATATCATTTCTCTATTCTGCAGACCGCATTGGATGTAATTGTAAACAATTATATTGTATATGTGTTGCTCGTTATATTTGTATATATATATACAAATATGTATAATATGTTATATTGTAATATATAGATTGCTCGTTTTATTGGTAGTTATAATTATACTTATATGTGAATGTAATTTGTCTATTAGAATCGTTATTTTTACATTAGCAATAGTATTTATTTGTATTTAGTGATTATAATAATAATAATAATAATAATAATAATGATGATGATGATGATGATGATGATGATGATGATGATGATGATGATGATGGTGACTAAGATAGTGATGTGGTATGATACGATTATGATGACGAAGTTAATAATGATGATGGTGATGATGAGGATGATAACAGTGATGATGATGATGATGATGATGATGCGGCTACTGATTATGATAATATTAATTTATAGTACAGTTTTTGAGTTTGTCTCCATGTTTATTTCCATTCGACGCATTTTTCAAGTAATTGTAAATATAACAATATAACTGACACCACACACACACAGACGAACACACATACACAGACAAACACATACACACACAGACACACACACATACATACACACAGACAAACTCAGTGACTGATTTTATTTATTTTTTATTTAATGTCGTTTTTTTCATGTACATGTATATAGCATCGAGTTCATTTTTATTCTATAATTTATACAGTTGATGATAATTTATCTTTCAATATTTTTTCACTTGTTTGCGGTTGGTTAGTGCTAATAATTAATCAGTTAATTATGAATAATTATATTAAATTATAGCTAGTAAGTGTGCTGATTGTGGATGCGGTATGGTAAAAATAATTTTAATGATGGTGGTTTGATATCGGGCACCGTGGTAGCATTTTTAATTAGCAAAAATACATACACCAAATTTTCGCTATTTATGTAATTGCATGCAAAATAATATTAATTATTATTATTATTATTATTTTTTATTTATTATTATCAGCATTATTGAATTGTTGGATGGTTAGTCTAAAGCCATTCCACATTTTAGTTTCTGTGCGCTTTTTTGCTTGTCTTTGTGCGTGAGTCTCTGTGTGATAGTGTATGTATGCGAGTGTGTGTATGTGTTTGTGTGTCTGTGAGTTTGTGTGTTTGCGTGTGTGTTGTCTGCACATATTCACATAGTTCCAGCCATTGCTCATAGTAATTTACCATTTCATTTTTTTTTCTTTCATTTTTTTCAAGTTCAAATTTTTCTTTTGTCCATTAACTTAAAAAAATTTTTCGTTCTTAGTTATTTATATACATATGAATAAAGATATGAAGATATAAATATATAAATATATATATATATAATTAAATATCTTCATAAGTCTTCATAAGTCTTGGCTTCTTCAACCACTTTCCCTTTAAATGAAATATCTCACCCGAAAATATGGATTATCATTTGAATGTTAACTATTTTTTAATAAATGAATTTTCGGATATATTTATTATTATTGTTACTACTACTATTATTATTTTACTTATTATTGTTATTAATATTATTATTGTTGTTGTTGTTTTATAATTAATGTTTTACCGCCAAGTTTTTAATAAAACCGTAAACGTTTAGTATGGATTTTAGCATTTTATTAATAACAAATCGATTAATTAACTTTCCTGTATATTTTATGCTATTAATTATTTTATGCTTTTTTATTATTTTGTTTTATTATTTTAAACGAGTTTTTATTTAACTTTTAAAACTGCATTGCATTATTTTATTTATACATTGCCGTCGACGTAAATCGAAAATAAAATTTGACGTGTCATTTCGGAGTGTCATTCCTGTGTCATTCTCTCTCTCACGTACTTTATGACCTCTCTCTCTCTCTCTCTTTTCTCTCTCTTTTTTTTCTCTCTCTCTCTTTTCTCTCAGTTTCATTCTTAATCATATTGAAAAATTTTATCAAAAGTAAAGTTATTGCAAACAGAGATTTACAAATCTATATGTTAGGAATTGAACTATTGTTTCTGAAAGTTTATTGAGATAAGTATAAATTGAACTATTGTTTCTGAAAGTTTATTGAGATAAGTATAATAACCTATATTTTATCTTATGTGTGTCCCTTTCTCTTTTTATGTGTCACTCTCTTTTTCTCTTGACGCTTCATTTTAATTCATATTAAATTTTTTTTATATGCGTTGTAAAACGTACAAAGAAATTTAAATTAATCTTCCATTTCCTGTGCTATGTGTATCTTCGGTCGTAAAACAAATAGTATATAACCCAGCATTTAAGCTCTATAAATCACATTTGATTACTAATTTCATAAATTGATAAGTTCATTTGAAAATTTGTTATTTACTTGACGCACATTGGATGGCTCTAGTATACTATTTATGTGGGATGACTACTGCAAATTGTTAGTACAATTTTTTCTCGAATGAATTACTGTACTGGGGTCGGTGTCGAATGCTCAACATTGATCGTTGTATATGCGTTTCGGGTTTTGTGTCTTGTATTTTTAGCAGCTTTTTCACTGTCATGACAACTAAATTACATTTTATTATGCCTAATTTCTGAAAATTATTAATTTTTACTGTTTAATATATAGAATCTTGATTAGTTTGACAAGTTTCGTAGGTTGAGTTGTCGCTGGCAGATTAGTTATTTAAAAATTATTCAAGTTTGAACGAGATTCCAGAAAGAGGTCTGGTTTTCTTAACTAATTTAAAAGTAAATTTTTTACGGTGGGGCTTAAAATTTAATTTCGATCCTTTTCTTTTTTGAAACGGATTAAAAACATTTTTTAGAGTTACATTTTAAAAAGTATTTAATCAAATTTTTTATTTTTTGGTTAAATAAGTTAGTAAGGTTTCATATTATTTTCTTTTTCATCGGATAAATTCAAATTTTCAGAATTTTTAATGACAAGCAAAAATACGAGGAATAAAAATAGACTATCACAAAATTTAGATTTGGTTGAAGTAAAAAATGATTTAGAGAATATTTTAAATGAGTCTGAAGATAATATAAAAGTTTACAACAATTTGGTTGAAACAACTAACTCACTAAAATACGATTCGGCACACATCGTGTCAGGCAGTCTCGAGATCCCAGATTATTTAGAAGATCTAGAAGGCTCTATTGCATTGCATAATCTCAGAGACGAATTTTCTTATTCTAGTGAAACTCTGGCAGATAATGATAACAGCTCTCCTAATGAAGATTGCAACATTAATGAGGATTTTTTCCCTTGCTCAACACATTTTAGTTATCATGTTTGCCAGGATGATGTAAATGATAACATCGTTAAAAAAAATAACAATAGGTATGATGATGTTTTCTCTATAAAATCTGAAGAGCAAAGTGATATAGATTCGTATGCCAATGAAGTAGATTACACTGATAACGATGATGATGACTTATTACTAATAAAATCTTACCCCAGTCATTTGAATAACAAAAATATGGCTAACAAACATATAGTCAACTCGACAGATGTCAGTAAGGAATTAGAATTTATGCTAAATCCCCACTCTTTACACCTGAAAGTTAACTCTAAACTTTTGATGACTAAAGAACAAGGTCATATTATTCATAAAAATTATTTTAAAAATATTTTTTCAAAATAATTAATTTTTTATATTTAAATTTAAAACAGTTAATAATGTTTATCTAGTGTGCATTAATATTAAGTTTTTTCATCAAACATGGCTTGAAAAGTTAAAGTAGACCCATAAATAACAGTG